CTCTTATAAAAAAAAAAAAACATAAAAAACAAAATTAAATTTTCTTATTCATAGCTATGTTCAAAAAATACTTGATCGAATTTGGTTTTGTCGTTCTATTGAATTTTTCCGACGAGAAAGGGAAATTGGGTAACATATATAAACCTTGCCGACATGATTTTCAAACTGTAGATAAAAAAATCTTTACCAAAATCCAAAAATTCGACGTTCACAGATAAAAAGGAAAAGAAGAAACGTGGCATCTTGACAACGATAAGGCACCTGCAGTCCACTTCAAACACGGAACAGGTAAGAATACATCATTTTCCTATATTAAGTATTAACGAAAATTTTGAAGCTGTTTGCATCCAACGAATTGAAATTATTAAATTAATCGTTAAACCATAAATCATAATATTTATATAATGAATGGTATCTGTTATATATTTTCAATGTTGATTCGTTAAACGACGGTCCATTCGATTACGGGCACGATAAGCGTGTTTTCTCCTATTGAGAGTGTGTTGTTCTCCTATTGGGAGTTGTATAGTTTTTTTGTATTGTGGGTGCATTAGTGTAGTTGCTTCTAGGCTACCGTCGTGTAGACCTCCCGGATTCAGCTGGTTGACTGCTTGACTATTCTGACTGTTGTCTACCAGTAATTACGTGGTTTTTAGTTTTATAAAATTTCAATCATTCGAAAAAAAATCATCATTGAGAATTAATTAAGGCCATATAATAAAACCAACCAAACAAAGTTTAAATGAATAGTATCTATACTAATATAAAAAGGTTGTTAGTAAAATTATTTTTAGTACCTTTGACCAAAAAAATAAATAGGTTGATTTACTATTAGTAGAAATTTTGAAAAAATACATGTAGATCTTTACTAACAAAATCTAAATTTCATTTTTTTGTAACAAATTTGGAAATTCTTATGCCAAAATCTAAATCCTATTTTTCATTTTTTATCATTATTTTTTTACCAAATCTGAATCTTATTTTTTTGGTGACAAGTTTGGAGATTCACGAAAACAAATTCAAATACAAATTAATTTAAAAACCATACAAATTGGATATAAAATTAAGAAATAAATAGTTGTATAATTCTTAACAAATTCTTTCAATCTTTTTGAATAATTTTTTCTTTAAAAAAATGTGTGCAAATTGGAAAAAACCACGAGCAATTTTTATTTTAAAACAAAATTAAAATTTGGACGGGATATACATTCAAAATCCACCTTTTGGTAACAAAATCGGTTCACCTTGACATTTAAAATCAAACCTTATCCAATTATTTAGGAAAGAAAATTCAAATCAAATCATGTGCAACTTTTTAAAATTTGAATGAAGCGATGTTTTTGGATTCTTATGTTTTTCTTAACTATATTTTACTGAGAAGCAGTTGCATAAATCTTAACAAAATATTACGGTCTTTTATTAGAATTAATTTCAATTCAATTTGTTTAATACAAAAATCGTTGCATTGTTAGAAAGATTTGGTTCTATTTTTAGAAAAAATTAATGATTTTTTTTCACTTTGTTTTAACCAAACATTCGGATCAATTTGTTTGGTAAAAAAATTAGTGTATTTATATGAAAATTCAGTTGAATTGTTAGGAAAAACAAATGATTCTTTTTAATTTTACTTAATCAAAATTCTGAATTAGAATTAAAAAAATGGTGTGAAAAAACCCTAAAAATCTCTACTTTCTTTCTACTATAATTTTGTTTAATAAATAAAATCCCTTGATTCTTTTAGAAAATATAATTTTTTAATTAATAACTAATAATACATAATTTTAGATAAAATTCGAACACTCATATAGTGGTCAATAATATATAAATTTCATTTTCATGATATTTTTAATGTCATGAAAAAATTTAAATAAAAAAGTATATTTTAAAAATAAATTAGGTAAAATGCTCTTGTGAATCGCACGGGTACTGTAATAGTATTTTTTAATTATAATGCCTCATAAATATCCAATCACTACTAGCTGTTAGCCACCTAACATAAGACATTCGGATTCCAACAACATTTTTTATATTTTGCATATACACAAAAGAGACCTAATTTGGACTTGAGTGGACTGAATCTGTTTCTTCCCCTCTCAATTCCCTAGTTAAATAGATACAATCTACCGTTGGAAGAGAGAAAACGTGGTCAGATTCTCTGCTGTGTTTGTGAGTGAAGTGCAAAATGGCCATCAGTGGAGGATATGGCGATGCGAAAATCGACTACGTGTTCAAGGTGGTGCTGATCGGAGACTCTGCCGTCGGCAAGTCCCAAATACTGTCACGTTTCTCCCGCGATGAGTTCAGCCTCGACTCCAAAGCAACCATCGGCGTTGAGTTCCAGACGCGCACCATGGTCATACAGCACAAGTCCGTCAAAGCTCAGATCTGGGACACCGCCGGACAAGAAAGGTACGGATGTAGCTATATGTGATTGATTTCTGCTTGAAAGGGAAAAACAGAGAGAGATGATCTCTGCGCGTGATTGATTTTTGCTTGTAGATATGAAACTTGAAATTGACTGTTGCTATTACAATTTTGTATTGTGCTGAAACAACTTGTGATGAGATTTTTAACGACTGATCTTTTTTTCTGGATTGATTTAATTTTTTATTTTTTGTACGTTGTTTAGCTGGTGTGGAATAGGATTTCTTGTTGCACTGAAATTTGAGGTTATGGGAATGCTGTGGTGTGGAATTTCCATTAGTGCTGGGATTGGGGATTAAGTTTATTTTTATGTATAATTCTACTTGTACATAAATTATGTGTGGTAAACTCGAACTCAAAGAACTGGGAAGATCAAATTATCGCCTAATTGTGCTATTCAACTTTAATAAAGAAAATGGTTTGTGTTGTTGAATTATCACCATTGAGTAGTAAGTGATGCTAAGTAGGGGGTTCATTGTATCAAATGAGTTCTAATTCAAATAATATCTATTTGGTTATGTATATCAAAAGAAACTTCTATGTTGATTAAAAAATGATTCTAATTCAAATAATAACATAATATTAACTAATATTACGATCGAAACATGATGCACGTATAGATTCCATGTTCAAACATTGATTGTATTGTTGGTTGATATATAAATAACATAGAATTTTGCAGGGCTATTGTACTATAACTGCTCAAGGAAAAACAAGTGTGAAGCCGGTAATCTTAGCTATAATAACATTGTAACTCTTTTTAGTCTTATAATTTTCTGGATCAGCTAAGATCTGCTTCAGAACCTGAAATTCAAATTGATCGAAATTTGAGTTGTTAACCTAGGCTCAAAAATTGAGCGTAAATATGTCGATTTGCTAATTCATTTTGAGTAAGTGGAACCATTATTATATTCTATTGAAACACACCTATCCATCACACTTAATCTGAATGCACCAAATATGTATGAAAATGCATTAGTCGTAAAATGTTATCAAGCATGAGAAAGTTCAGTTTGTAGTTTCATCCAAAAGTTTGTTTCATAAAAGGTCCAGTTATTACCCAATAGGTTTAGATTTTTGTTAGACAAGAGTTTTGTGTTATTTTTCAGAAAAAGGAAAAAAATTGATAAAAGTTCTCTTTCGGTACAGATATAGAGCCGTCACAAGCGCTTACTACAGAGGAGCCGTTGGGGCCATGTTAGTTTACGACATCACCAAACGTCAGACCTTTGACCACATCCCTCGCTGGCTGGAAGAGTTGCGTTCCCACGCGGACAAGAACATTGTAATTATCCTAGTCGGGAACAAATGCGATCTGGAGGACCAGAGAGCAGTCCCCACTGAAGATGCCAAGGAATTTGCCCAAAATGAAGGGCTCTTCTTTCTAGAAACCTCGGCTCTCGAAGCAACCAACGTGGAGGAGGCATTCTTGACCGTTTTGACCGAGATTTTCAACATTGTGAACAGGAAGAACCTTGCGGCTGGTGAGGATCGAGGGAATGGTGATACCGTGTCTTTGTCGGGCAAGAAGATTGTTGTTCCTGGGCCGGGCCAGGTGATCCCGGAAAAGAAAGGGATGTGTTGTGGGTCGTGATTGTCGAGGTTACTTCTTTTTGGTTGTGTGATTTTTAATATTCAGTTGTAGATTTACTAAACTCCAGTGAGTAGTGAGATTTTGAAGAAGAATATGGTTTGTTTGATTTTTTATGTGGAGGGAGGGAAATGAAACTAAGTGAATAGTTCAAATTTGTGTCTGGTCAATTTATCAATTACCCTTTTGTTTGTTTATCTTTAATAGATTTTGATGCCATTCTTTATTATGTTTATGTGAGTACTTTGTCAGGGCAAGCTAACCATTGGGTCGACATACTCGTCATAATATGCATACTTTTACTAGAAAATGTCATAATTCAAAAAATTAATACACAAAATTATGCGTTTGATTGTAGTATGTATTTTTCTTTACAAATTATAATGGGTCGATCCGTCTAACAGTTAGGTTGTCTCAAACAAATACTTTTTTACTTTATGTACGCCCCTTTTGTTGCTATTTTTTTCTATGATTATGACATTGCCCTTAAATTTTATGAACCTACCACACAATGTGATTGCAGGAAAACAGTATAGAGGATGATTGGATATAAAAAATTTTAGTTTTGTTTGGATTTTTTTTGTTTGGTTTGGTTAATTTTGAAAAAGTTGGTATGATTAGTTGTTAGTGGGTATATTAAATAATATTTAAAATAAAATGATTAAAATTGATTTGATGTAAAGTAGGTAAGAGAAAATTTGAAGTGATGGTTAGTTAAATTATGTGAGTGGATGAATAGTGAATTAAGGTAAGGTGGTGTGTAAGAATGATTGATTGATATTATTTAATTATATTGATAATATTGATGATAGTGGAGTTGAGTTAAAGTTGAGTTAAAAAAAATGGTTGAGTTAAAAATGTTTGGATTTTTTTGAAAAATTTTGTATCCAAACATGCTCATGTTTTTCTTATAGCTCTGCAGTTGCAAGCATTCATACTAGAAACAAGTTTAGGAATGTCACTACTTCATATAGTAGCATTTTTCGAAGTTCTTTTGTTCAAGTTTTTACCACAATGAAAATACACAAATCAAACGATTGAATGTGCACAAAAGTGAGTTTAAGTTAAGTTCTTTTGTTCAAGTCTAATTATCCAGAAAATGTGCACAAAACTTATGAGGCGGCGATTGAATAAAAATAACATGGGTTTCAATTAGATTTATTGGTTAAAAGTGAGTTAATAGTGAATAAAACTGATTGCCAGCTAAAATTATTGCACAGATCCAAATAGCAGCACAGGCTCAAGTCGAGCACAAATTCAGGCAGTAACAACTTTAACAAAACAAACATCCCAAAATCTTTTTCTAAGAAACAAAAGCAGTCTGTGCAGTCAATTAACATAACAGTTCAAGAGCTTGTCCTTACTCATAAACAAGCAAAAAACCAACCAGGCCCTAAGGGCCGGGCCCATCAACTGTCACACACAAATCCACAACAAGTGGGCATCTCAAAAAGGGCAAAATTTAAGCAGCAGCAACAGACAGCTTAGAGGCTGCAGAGAGCTTTGATCTCCTCTTGGCCAAGCTCTCACTTCGCCTTTCTCTTTGTTCCTTCAAACGAGTAGCAAGAAGCTTCTGATACTCGGCAGCTTCAGACTTTGCCTTGGATATCCTCTTCTTCTTGTCGGCAATTCTAGCTCTCTTCCTCTGCAGAGTCAGTGGGGTCACCAGCCTCTGAATCTTTGGGGCTTTGCTCACTTTCTTGCCTACCATGGGAAATAAACAGGTAACCATTATCAAACCAACTCATAATTGCAAGATATGACGATAAGAATAATCAGTATAAAACTAACCCCAAAAGCTTAGTCTGATTGAGGGAGAGGTAAGATAAATAAGTGAATGATCACTGCATTGTGAGCTTATTAAAAAGATCTAATAAACTCACACATACAAGAAGAGCCTCTCGGGGCTTCTAGGAAAGCTTCTAAACAATTAAAGAGTATTTTTCTCATCCATCTTATGAGGGTCATCAAAAAGGATACACAAAACAAAGTTAAAAAGCTCTTAACCATCATCATTTAATTAGGTCAAATATTGGTAACAGTTTCGGAAACCATCCCAGAACTAATATGCACAATTAACTGAAAAGAACAAGCTTTATTACCAGATTTGGTGGTGAATGTCCGGCGGTAAGTGTTGACATACTTGCGAACATCATCCTCCTTGGAAAGGTTGAAGAGCTTGCGGATCTTGGAAGCCCTCTTGGGCCCTCTCATCCTCGGCTTCTCGGTATCAGTCAGCCCAGGCAGATCATTCTCACCCTTCTTCACAATCACCAAGTTCAGAACTGAGAGGTCAGGGCTCACGATACACCCACGAACAGACTTCCTTCTTCGCTCTCCGTTCCTCCTTCCAAAACCACGGAAGCAAGGGGTGCCTGTAGAGAACGGAGCCAATTTTGTTAAATAGGGGGTTTCAGGGCAAGAGACAGTATCTATTAAACTA